TATAATTGTTTGCCTTTGACCTATTTTGTCATACCTCATTGAATATTTGTACCAACCACTGGTAGAGATAGCTAAAGACCATAAATAAAAATTATGATAACCATAAAATCTACAATTAAATGGAAAGGCACATTGTTTACAAAATCTGAGGGAAACTGAAAATGGTTTAGAAGATGCAAGAAGTGAAGAGAGCTGAGGGTGGCTAAGAGGTTTTCTATGTGCAGTGGGGGTTTTAACTGTCTTCACAGCATTAGAGACCTATGAAGACAGCAGTGTATAGAGGTGCTTGTGCACAAGCCTGAGGACCTGAATTTAGTCCCCATATCCCACAAGGTAGCCCAAGACCTTAACACACACACACCTACATTCATATACATTTTCAATAAATGAGTGAAGACAAGCAAGCCAGTTAGAAGGAGGGACTTGGTGTAATATAGGCGAGAAGTTAATACATGAACAAAGATTATAAGGGCTGTATGTCTAAAAAGGGTAGGAATGGGGTGGGAGAGATGGCTCAGTGATTAATACTATCTGTTCCTGCAGAGGACCTGGGTTCAAGTCCCAGCATATACATGGTGGCTCTCTGTTAATGTCCGTGTTAGACCTCTCTGAGCACCAGGCTTGCGTATGGCACACAAAAATAGAGACAAAATTGGAGGGAATGTGCTGGTGTTCAGTTGTAGATTGGGTTAATACAATTAACACTGCAAAGGGAAAGATGAGAGAACATTGCAGTGAGATACAATGCAGTGCCCGGAAATAGTAGAGGTCAAATGTCTACTGAAATAAAATGTCTACTTTCTGGAAACAAAAACACCAGTGTATAATTACTTACTGTACCAAAAACAGATAGTGGTCTTACTATGAAAGTCTGCACACCACTTGCATGCCTGATGTTTAGAGGCCAGAGGAGGGCTTTGGATCCCCTGAAACTGGAGTTAGAAGTGGTTATAAGCCACCATATGGTGTTGGGAATCAAACCCAAGACTTCTGAAAAAGCAGCCAGCACTCTTAACTGCTGAGACATCTCTTCAGCACCCAAAAACAGGTTGTCCGTGTAATAGCTGTTAGTAGTGTACTTTACCATGAAAGTAATTCATACCTAGTAATACAAGTATTTGAAGGATGAAGTCCTTGGCCCTTGCATAGTGGTGTAAGGTGTGAAAACCTCATAGAGGAAGTGGCAGAACGAAAGAGTGCAGGCATTCCAGGAATAATACGAACAAAGGTTCACAAACGCACAGTAGTGTAGTCAGTCAGACAGCACAAATCAGCTGTGCGAGCTGATTTCAGACCATTCAGAAAGTAGTTTTATGAACAGAGAAAGAGCGTGTCAGATGAGACAGGAATGAGGAAAATGATCAGAAGTCTACAAATTATAATATAGTTATTACCAGATACCATGAGATGCTATAGTCAAGTTAGCCCTGTATGCTCCAGGCATGATGATGGTACATGTAACTCAGGAGGCCAACCCTGGGCTACATCGTAAGACCCTGTTTCAACAATGTTTGCTGTATACGTAAGCTTTAATCTGAGTATTTTAATTATAGGTCTCCTTGAAGAAAATGATATTTTCAGGAACGCTCAAGCAGGTGTTCTTATCAGCACTAATAGTCATCCAGTCTTAAGGAAAAACAGAATATTTGATGGATTTGCAGCAGGTTTGTATTCTTTATCTGTGACTTATTTTAAACCTGTAATTAAAGGTTTTCTTGTATTTTATTTGGTTAGTAAGAATGAATCTATTTAAGATTCTAGGCCAACCTTTCTCTGCAACCTTGGATGTCCTGGAATTCTCTGTAGACCAGGCTGTCTTAAAACTCGAGAGATCCATACCCATCCACCTTGATGTGTGCCACCACCAACCTTGCTTCAAGGAACCACTCTAACATTTGCACATTAACTGGAATAAATCTGTAGTCAGGCTGGGCAGTGGTGGTGCATCCCAGCCCTGAGGAGGCAGAGGCAGGTGGATCTCTGAATCTGAGAGGCTGGCCTGGTCTATGGAGCAAATTCCAGGACAGCTAGGGCTGTTACACAGAGAAGCCCTGTCTCAAAAAAATCCGAAAAATAATTTATAGTCAGATTGGAAATACAGATAAATTTGAGTCATGTGACTTTTAAAATATTTAAAAATGAAAAAAAAATGGTTACTTTAATTACTTCAAATAACCATTTAGCAGCTTTCCTTTTTTAATATGAAAACTTTCAACATACTTCTGGGTACTGTCCCCTTTATCCCAATCTCCCTTTATCTGTTGCACGGTCTGGTAGATTTTCACACTCACAGGCCCTTTCTCTTTCAGTATTATTCCCCAGTTTGCTTATCCTTGTGACCATGTCACTATCAGCAGGGAAAAGTGAACGTTACTGTTGATGATTAAAATACTTGCAATTTGTTCTTTAGACAGTAAGCAAACTAATTTAATGTGAAACTACCAGCTTACATCCGTCCTAATTTGGAGATTCTTTAAGAATAAGTGGCCAGTACACGCCCCTTTAATCCCAACACTTTGAGTTCGAACCCAGCCTGGTCTACAGTGAGAGTTCCAGGACAGCCAGGGCTGTTAGACAGAGAAACCCTGCCTTGAAAATCCAAAAAGCAAATAACAAATGAACAGTGTAAAGTGATGATGCATCTACTTGTTTGTAAATTTCACTTCAGGTATTGAAATTACAAATCATGCAACTGCAACACTAGAAGGCAATCAAATTTTTAACAACCGATTTGGAGGCTTATTTTTAGCATCTGGTGTTAATGTGACAATGAAAGGTATGTTGGAGTCTGTTCTTCTAAGCACTCTAAAAATGGGAGTTGGAAGTCATTGTTAATTCCTTCTGTCACTTTCTACATTAGCAGCAATTTTAAGTGACCAGTTTTGAGTTTGCCTTAAGCTTGTTTTAAGAGTTGGGATATTTTACACAAAGAAAACATATTTCTGTTCTTAGTTTCTTACATATAATTGTATCCTTGGCTAGCTGTTGAAAATACTTTTGTTTTTACAGATAACAAAATAATGAACAATCAAGATGCCATAGAAAAGGCTGTTAGTAGAGGACAATGTTTATATAAAATATCAAGTTATACCAGCTATCCCATGCATGACTTCTACAGGTATATTTCTAAATTACTTGAATACAGAAAAGTGGAAGTTAGTGATTCCCTTTAAGTTGACATTGCCTTAAGTTGACATCTTTTGTTCTGTTGTCACTGGGGAGGGAAAGCAGTACTTGTTAACTGATGTCATCATATAAGTATTTACTAAGTTATAGACCAGGCTGGCCTTGAACTCACAGAAATCTACCTGTCTTTGCTTTTCAAGTGCTGGCTGGGACTGTTTTAAAGTAACATTTCCACTGTGTTATTTATAACTCAGGTTGTTCCATTTTCCTAAGACACACACAATACTACAGTTTCCTTTTGGTCTAGACTATAGCCAGCCACAGAATTCAGGTAAAGGTCATGAGTGATAAAATGCACTGTTTTGAATTCCTGACAAGCTCAGTAATACAATGTTTTGATTTTTAGATGTCATACTTGTAACACCACAGATCGAAATGCCATATGTGTGAACTGCATTAAGAAGTGCCATCAGGGACATGATGTAGAATTTATTAGACATGATAGGTACGTAGAATACTTGTTGCTATATTGCCCAGTTACTTCCCTTCACTTTGCTAATTTTTGGATTTTCATTTTGCTTTAGGTTTTTCTGTGACTGTGGTGCTGGAACACTGTCCAACCCTTGTACATTAGCTGGTGAGCCTACACACGATACAGACACATTATATGATTCTGCTCCACCTATAGAATCTAATACGTTGCAGCACAACTGAATTCCTCCCTAAAGAAAAAGTCCTGTCATTCTAACATCGTAACTTAAAAACATTTTTTGGAAGATTTAAAATACTTGCCCATGCTACAGAAAGAGACTGTACTGAAAAGATGGATACACAAGGTCAGTTGACACTATGAAGCTCAAACTACCAAAAAGAAAGTGGCAATATATTGACTCAGGATCTCAAAGCTGGGTATTTTAGCATTACTGTGTAAAGACTTTTGAAGGGACAGAAGTGAAGAAAATAAGCTGCAATTTTGTACAGATACCAACTTCTGAAAAAGCTGGTGTTTTTACAACTAGCATTGAATGCAGTCCGATTTGCAGTAGTAATCTTCAAATAGACGAGCAGCTTTGTTGCTGCCTTTATGGACATGGGTACCAATTGCTTTTGTAATATGGTAAAAATGTGAGCTAGCACTTCTGCATTGATTTTTTTAACATGTATTCAGATTGAGAATATGATTTTAATGCTTTAATCTCATGTAGTTTGTTTTTAATTTCAAGCAAAATCTTATTGTACTTGAATGTGCCCTGTTTTGTTAGCACACCTAGACTTGCTGTAACTGTACTCATGTCCCAGTATGTACGTTCTTTCTATGAAAGAGAAAAACACTAATCTTAAATTATATCCAGCAATGTTTCTGGTATCCTTTAAGAAAAGTTAAGACTATTATTTCCTTCCCTCTCCTGTGCAGCATTCAAAAAAAAAAAAATCATCCCTAGAAAAAAGTTGAGTGTGTTTTAATGAGACTTCCTAGGAAGGGATGCACTGTAAACAAAAGTATTCTTGTATCTCAGTTTTGTGAAAGGTAAAAACTACTATGTTTTAAAGTTCACTTTAGAAAGTCTCTTCAAAACAGGCCTGTATTTGAATTCTGTTCATAGTTTTTATTTGAACAGTTTAGACAAAATGGCTGGAAATTAAAGCAGTTTCCTACATTAAGCTGAGACCAGTATATATACAGCCCTATACAGTTTCATAGCTCCCCCTCCCATTTATGTGTATTGGTGACAGTGGGTATAAACAGCCTGAAAGTGTATGCATGTACCATAACATCTAGACTTAATATATTGTGGAGTATTCAATAACCATTATGTAGAAGGTAGATGAGAATTAAAAGGGTTTAATTTCCTAGAAAGAAAATGGAAAAATGGTCATTTTTAAAAAATAAAGTTTATTAGATCATAATGTTGTCTGAATTTACCACCTTTGTCAAAAGTCAACTCAGCTTCCAATGTAGTCTACAATTCCTTAATCAAAGCCAGCAACCTATGGACAGCTTCAGCATCTAAAGTCGGCTTTTCACTAGCCAGACAAACTTCCCTTTAAAAAAAAAAAAAAAAATTATTTCATTTTGTCTATGTACCAGCCTTCCAACTAAGTCAGCTATAGGAAAATTATATTCTTTATTCAGAAATAATTACCGAAATAGTCGTAATGACTGATTCATCTTCTCAAATTCTCTTGCTTTTCTGTGTCCCTTTTGAATAACCTCCTCCGGAAGATTAGCAAGCCTTGCTGCATTAAAGCCGTAGCTCTTGGGACAGGCTCCCTTAATGAATTTATAGAGGAAGGTAATAGTCTCCTGGCTGGGATCCTCACATTCATTTTCTACCATGCAAGCCTTCAAGAAAGAAAAGCTATTTTATTACAGCTCTATGATTTATGTGCTGCCAAATGAAAAATGCCTGGGTAATTCCACATACCATGTGTCCTAGGCGCACAGAAACGTTTTTAGAATAGTCTTCTACTAATGAATGATAGTGTGTAGAAAACAATGTTCGACACTTTATGGTTTCAGCAAGTTCTTTAACAACTGCATTGGCTATTGCTGTCCCATCAAAAGTTGCAGTACCTCTTCCTGTGAAAGTGAAATGTACTGTACATTAAGAGATGTACACCTCATGACAGGGTGCCAGGAGCAGCCTGGGCACTACAGAAAGAGAAAGAGGGAAACAAAAACTGCTTCATCTTACCTAACTCATCCACAAGCACCAAAGAATGTACTGTTGCGTGCCTAAGTATGCTGGCAGTTTCACTCAGTTCAACAAAAAATGTACTTTCACCTAAAAAAGGAAACAGAACTATTAACAACAGATTATATCTTGTTTGAATATGACAAGCAAGAGGTAAAAACACAAAAAGTTTTAACATGTTTTTAAAGTTTGACTTTTACATAATGCCTTAGGGGTGGGTGGAGGAGAAAGAACAACTCACCTGACATTATCCTATCTGAGGCACCAAGTCTAGTAAACACTCTATCTACTGGTGTGAGCCGACACACTTCAGCAGGTACATAACAACCCATCTGGGCCATTACAGCCAATAGACCAGCCTGTGAAGATGGAAGGAATGTCATGATTGGTATGAAGAGAACCTATACATAGTACACATTTGACTCAAGAGTTCTTATGGAGGAATCTGGCACTCCATATAAGTAAAGCCTAACAAATATTTTGGACTTCTTTACAGCCTTTGGAAATTTCAAAGGCCAGTTTTAGATCTGTGGTTGGCTAAGTCTAGTGAGTAATAGGAAAAGACAAGTATGTCAAAATGACTGCTTTGTTTCCTCTTAGTAGTTAATTTTATAACAGTACTGGGGAAGAAGAACAACATTACTGCTAGAAGGATGTACACATGCCGGGCAGTGGTAGCACAGGCCTTTAATCCCAGGACTTGGGAGGCAGAGGCAGGATCTCTTTGAGTTTGAGGCCAGTCTGGTCTATAAGAGCTAGTTCCAAGACAGCTAAGACTGTTACACAGAAACTCAACAAAAAGAACAGGTATACACATGAGGCCCTGGACTCAATCACAGAATCAAAATAAATCAGTATCATTATTTTATTATATAATCTCTACAATTTTGTTCACTTTGAATGTACCTTCTAAATTTAGTCAAGTAAAGGACCCTCATCACCTAAAACCTCCCTCCTCCTCTCTGTCTTTGTTGAGGTCATGAAAATCAAAGCCAGGGTCTCAAACATCTAATTGTGTGTTTACCACCTTAACATTAGCTAATAGGTTTCTCTCTGGCGAGACAAATGCAACTTTATACAGTTTCCCTCTGCTTCCCTTATGTGATTTTGTGCTATCTGGAAAAATGGACTAGAGTATATTTGCCTCTCACTACTTTCTAATTAATAGAACATGAAGGGTAAATTACCTGTCTTATGAGTGTAGATTTGCCCCCCATATTTGGTCCAGTAACAAGCACACAATAGGCTTTGCCATTTTCTTCTTCTTCTTCACAGCCTATCAGGATGTCATTAGGAATAAAATCATCTCCAAAAAAAGTCTTGGTAATGCAGGGATGCCGTGACCCTTTAAGCTCTAAGAAGGGGTGTCTGTGTTCTCTCGGTAATAGAATTTCTGGGCGACACATGGGACCATCTCCTCCTTGACTATAGTTAGCCAAGCACAGTAAGACATCTGTCAAAAGAAGTTAAAAGCATTGTTTTGTTCATTTCTTGCTAGGTATACATTATCATACCCACTACACAGTACTTGTTCTAGCTACCATAAAATGTCTTTTTAAAAATGCGCCAGCAAGATGGTTCAGCAGGCCAAAGGTGCTTGCCACCGAGCCCAATGACCTAAATTCAATCCCTCGGATCTGCACAGTAGGAGAGCAAATTCCCACTAAGCTATCATCTCCACAGGAACTGTACCAAGCCCAACACCTAACACACACAAAAGGTACTGTACTACTCAGTAAAGTATGTTTACTTTATGTTCTATTTTGTCCTAAAACGTTCTTAGTGCCAGGCATGATACCAAACACCTTTAATCCCAGCACTTGGAAAGCCATGTAGTAGAGCCCATTTGAGAACAAAATGCTGTGACTGAAACCAAGTTATTGGCCTGGGCGTTTTATGGAAAACTTCTTATGGAAGTTTCCGTTTCAGCAGTTCTCTAAGTCCTCTCTTCTCCACATCCACATGAGGGTGGCTGCTTATATAATAAGGAATAAGAGATAGGTCAGCTGGGAGGTCTATCTAAAGGTGTGTGTCCCAGCACTTGGGAGACAGAGGCAAGGGGGAAATCTCAGAGTTCAAGGCCAGCACACATTGTGATAGGGCCTTGTAGCTAGTGCTGGGAACAGCAGAGAGACAAATGAACCAATTTAGAAATCTGTGCTGTGAAAGGATTTTACTATTCAGTCCATTTAATAATTGTAGTCTCAGGATAGTACCTTAGGGCTGTAGTTCAGTGGACAAATGCTTGAAGCACTAGCTTCAGTCCCCCACCATCAAAAAGAAGGGGAGGAGGAACCTAGAACAAATTTTGGTTTCCATACTTTAAAAAACAGATACACTAGCCCTGATATCTGAAGATTACCAAATTTCTACTTTAAGAAAAAAAAAATCAAAACCTCAATTACAAAAGCAATTTGGGGTCAAGAGTTGGCTTAGTGACAGTGTTTGCCCAGCATGTGCAAGGTTCTAGATTTGATTCCTAACATGGCAAATTAAATTGTAAAACTAGGCAACAGTGGCTTACTTCTACAAGTAATCCTAGCAGTTGAGGAACTGAGGCAGGAAGGTTGCCAGGAGTTCAAGATAAGCTTGAACTAGAGATTCTGTCTCAAATCAAAAAGCAAATGACCTAGTACCAATAAACATTTTTAAAAGAAATCTGAAAAAAAAAAATCTTCCCTCAATAATTCAGCTATTCCAAAAAATGTCACAAAGTTATTAATGGCTAAAATCCAAATTTCAGTTACTTCAATTGCCTTGTGCAATGTAGTTCATTTGATTCAAAACAAAAATGTATGCATACATGTCAATATACACACCCATGATTAGAGATGTGTAGCTGAGACACAAAGCCGAGGGAACAGGGTTGTTTTAAAGCCTTACCCAATACTGCAATGCACTCTACAGCAGACTGCCAGTCCTTGTAATTTTTATCAAAGTTATAGAACAGCCGCCTCATGCAGTCCTTCAAAGACATGTCCCTACGTTCTTCAGCATTTATAAGATTAGCTAACTTCTTCTCAATCGTTTTGGTCCAGTATCGTTTACAGCCCTTTTTAGTAGATTTCAATTCATATTCTTCTGGTAGGTTGCGGGTAGTAAAATTCTCTGGAATCTCCAACTGGTAACGGTTCCTACCAATTCCCCAGTAGACTATGGTCCTGCATCCAAGCCGACTGCGCTGTTTATCTAAGTACTCCAGGAGACTCTGTTCATTCTCTCTTATGTCAGCAAGTGCTTGGTCATAATCAGAGTCAAATCCTGCCTTTGGAGTAATGAGTCCAGTCTTTCGAGCCCTCTCGTGGTCAAAAGCAGTATCCCATCGGTTCAGCTCTGTGTTCAGATCAGGAAAGCAGCCTTCAGGACTTTTTGTCTGTAGAGTGACAACCTGCTTAAGGGTTTTAGACTTAAAATCATCAGCAACATCCTCCATAAGCCCTATAATCTTACACATTACTTTGAATCCTTCTAGAGCAGAAAGAAAATCAATGATCTTTTTTTTGCTGTATGTGGTTTCTTCATACATTATAGCCCTGCTGTCTGGGTGGTTCTGGCTTTTTAGGGGAGATCCAATATTATGGATCTTACTCAGTAGCCTCTCAAGATCTGGTAGCTTCTTTAGGAGGTCTGTAATTTCAGTGATTTTGTCAGGCAAAGCCATCAGGTCTTCCACAGCATCTAAGCGGTCACTTATAGCGCAAGGGTTACAGAGGGGGGCACAAAGCCATTGTTTTAGGAGCCGCTTGCCAAAGGGAGTATGACAAGTATCAAGCCTCTCTAGCAAAGTCCCTTCAGTAGAACCATTTGTCCCATTCAGGAAAACCTCCAAGTTGTTTAATGTCACTGCATCTAGCACCATTCGCTGATTGGCTTTAGTAAAGACAGCACCGGGTCTTACTGTGGTGACCATTTTAGAATCCAAGGGAAAATATTCTTCAAAATTAGCCATTGATAGAAGCTCCTGATCAATCAAGCATTTTTTGAGGTAGAAAACACAACCACCTAGAGCAGAGAGGGCCAATTCACTATTCTCTCCTGGTGTCAGGCCAATAGAATCTGACCCTGAGGTCATACTTTTAAGTACCCCAGGCAGTGCTACACCACTGTCTTCATTTAACTTCCCAGTAAAATATCCTTCTTCAAGGAGTGTTCTCAGAGTCTTGGTGGCATCCCAAAATTGGGAACCTGGTATCAGACCTTCCTGAAGACAAGAGGACAATGAACCTTTCAGAACTGTTTTAGTTTCTGTTGAGAGATTTCCTTTCTCAAACAAAATTTGTACTGGAGGATAGTGTGCCACAAGAGTCCTAAATCTGGAACAATGGCGATCATCTGAAAACTGACCCATGAAAAACTTGCCCAGTGAAGTGTCAACGAAGCACACACCATATACACGAGTGTGCCCAGAGGAATCTTCCTCTTTCTCTTTAAGGCTCAGAAGGTACTTACTGTAGTTCTCAGAGGGATCACCTTCCAGCACACTGTACGTCTGTGTGCCCTTGGTGATAATCCTGCAAACCTCCCTTCTCACCACTCTGTCAAACTTAGACACGTGTGCCGTCTTCCGGCATCGTGCTTCCATCATTTCTGGAGTCTCAGTCTGCTCCACTCGTGCTACTTTATAGCCCTTCTGCACCAAGGAATCTGAAAACCGGCCAAATGCAATTTCATGAAAACCAGAATGGGCCCAGTTGCCCTTCATGAATACTAGTCCCAGCTCACTGACTCCAATAACGGCATCCATGTGATACAATTCGTAAAACTTCCCCACCTTATAAAAAATAACAAGATCAAAGTTCTGAGACTTAATCTCCCACCACTTCCTCATCCCTGGAGTACAAGAATTAAGGAAATCTTCAGGCACATACAGTGTGGAAGAATTAAAATCAGGGTGATCAGGGCGTCTCCTGTGCTCATCTCTTCTCTTTTCTGGCTTAAGCCATTCTAAAGTTTCATGATACCAAATAGTGGGCCCACTATTGTTGTCACCTCCTCCGCTAATATGGGTTTGGGATTCAGAATTCTGAGGGGCAGAGAAAGCACTCAAGGTACTCTTGGTTTCTGATGAAATTCGAGTCGCTTGTTTGGTGGCTGAGGGTGTTTCCTTCCTTGAACTTTTCCTTCTAAATGCACCCTGACCAGCCATTGCTCTCTTCCGCTTTGGAGCACCTTTGGCAAGGGTCCCCAGGTCCTCACTATCACTGTCTCCAACTCCACTGCTCATTTCGTCGCTGCTTCCTTCTTGCTTAGTGTCTGGCTTGAATTCTACATCAGAGCCACCAATGTCACTCTCAGAATCTGATACGATCCTTCGCTTTTTCACTTGCCGACTGCTTCGCCTAGGCCCCTGCACCTTAGGCTGCAGTTCTTCACCTTCACTTTGGTTATCGTCTTCACTCTTATCAGATACATAAGCTGCATGCTGCACCTGCCAAAGAGGGAATCAAATTTAAAACAAAACTTAAAATCCTTGTGTAGAACCCAAACGTTATGACTCAGGCTCATAACCCCAGTACTTCGGAGGCTGAGGCATAAACATTACCAGAAAATTGAGGTCAGCATGAGGCAGGGACATAGCTCAGTTAACTAACATGCAAATTCCTTAGTTTGATCCCCAGTAATTCATAAACCAGGAATGTTGGCATACACCTGTAATTCCAGCACTTGGGAGGTAGAAGCAGGAGAATCACTAAAGTCATCCCCAATACGTGTCAGTTCAAGGCCTGTCTTAGAGAAATAAAAACAATACTACAGTGAAATATTACCTGTATGCTGCAATGTTGCACACATCTTGAGAAAATGTTCTTAAGGCTATTTATTTAACCTAAATTTAAGCATAAACTGAACCTGATACATCAGGTCAATAATCTAACTTCTTGTGATGTTAAGTCAGAAGTTCTGGCTAACCTGGGCAACTCGGCAATACTCTATCTCAAATAAAAAATAGCTTTTTTTCTATAAAGGAGTGATAAAAAAGTCTAAGTGGTAGAGCACTGGTCTGACGTCTGACCCTGGGCTCAATCCTAGGAGATAACATGTAACAGCCCGTAAGCCCAATATTTGAAAAGCAAAAAGCAAGAAGATTCTGAGCTCGAGGCTAGCCTTCAGCTACAAAGACTGTCTCAAAAAGGGGGTGTGGGGGGGTAACTGTTAAAATCTAGGAAAGTACAGATGTATGTATGTATGTATATACACACATACACTGGACAGTCACTTCAAAAAAAACAAAACAAAACAGGGTTTCTAACTCAGAGATACGCCTGCCTCTGCCTCCCCAGCGCTGGGATTAAAGGCGTGCACATCACATACACATCATTTTACCTCATTACGCTTTAAGAGAACAGAATGCCTGACCTCTGTCTCGTCCTCTTCTGGCTCTGAAGGCTCATCACACACTGCCAACTCAAGCCTCTTTATCTTGTCTTTATTTAAGGCTTCATCTGCGCGTTGCATTGCCCTCAGGATTTCAGACTTTGAACTGTAGAAATGACCTCCCTTTTGGGCTTCCTTGGATTTTGAACCTAGAAATATACTTACAATGAGAACACAGTGGCCGAATAGTTGGCCAAATTACACTGTGAACAAGAATGGTTACAATCAGTTATAATTTTTTAATGCCCCATTTTTTCATATACGTAGGTCAAAAGTTTATAGGAAGGAATTTTCAGGGAAAAGCTAGCAATAAAACTGGAATCACCAATTTTACTTTGAATTTGCTCTGTTAAATCATCCCAGGCCACTTAAGTCTCTCTTCTAAGGTCTCAGAATGTGCCACAGTATGACAAACCTCACAGTGAAGCAGATACCAATGTGGTTTGGTTACGGACTCTTTCTAAAATTGTCAAGGACAGATCAGATTTATTTAAATAAGCAGCTGGATAACCAGGCTGGAATGTAACTCAACTGGTAGGTAGGATGCATGCCTAGCACATGAGAGGCCCTGGGTCGTATCCCCAGCGCCATTATACCAGAACCAGAAGTGGTAATACTAAATGTAATATCCAGCCCTTGAGAGGCAGACATCTGGAGAGTCAGGAGCTCAAGATGCTACAGAGCTGGAGTCCAGCCTAGGCTGTATAAAATTCAGTCTCAGAAAAAGAACCAAACTGCAGTTCTTTAACAAAGTGCCTATCATTTAAATACGTTTTCCTCCCAACAACAAATGCAATATTCAAAGACCTTCGCTTTAAAATAAAACTCTTCATTTAAAATTTATTTCATAGGAATGCAATGCAATGGTTGAATGTTGGCCTATCACGAACCCTGGGTTCAATCCCTAGAACTTGATTTTCATTATCTTAAGTGAAAACATTTTTATCTATTCAACAAAAACTTCGCATCACAAATTTAATGCTAAAAATTACTTTTCTAAGAGACATTAACTGGAAACTGAAATGTCTCTGATCTGTTCTGCCAAAATAGAACCATGACTGGAAAAGAAAAGCCAAATGTCTAAATTAACAAATCCAAAGCTTTATTATATTTACCTTCTTTCCGCACATGGAAACAGGACTACCTGAACTTCATCGGAACTAACAACTTCTATGAACCATCTAAGACAAACTGAAGATACAACTTACCCTTTCCCTAGCTCTTAAAAAAAAAAAAAAAAGCTATAACCTGCAACAAGAATTATCAACTGGAAGGGGGGTCTGAACTTTTCCCAAAGTGCCCCCTATAGCTTTACTGCATACACCACACCACATAAACACTTGGTCCAGTAACTACAAGACAGAATTTGGACAAGAGGCCTCTCCATTCATGCTCCTGGCTAGCAAACTAAAACAAGCATGTTATTTCAAGTGTGTGTGTGTTTGTGTGTGTGTGCGCGCACACACACTTGATGGGACCTAGCCTGTGGCAGAATTGTAATTCCAACTTAAAGAGAAACTGAAGGAGGAGGACTCCAAATTCAAAGCAAATAGGTTGTGGTGGTGCACACCTTTACCCAGCACAGGGAAGCAGAGGCAGGCAGATCTCTGCTGAAGCCCAGACTGGTTTATACAGTAAGTTCCACAACCGCCAGAGCTATACAAAAAACACTTTGTCTCAAAAACAAAAACAAATTCAAAGTCAGCCTAGGCTACAAAGTGAGTTGAAGGTAGGCTATACAATTTAGTCTGAAAAAGTAAAATAGGCCCTCCACTACTCCCTTAATCCCAACACTCAGGAATGGGAGCAGAGGCAAGTGGATCTCTTGTGAATTTGAGGCCAGCCTAGTCAACAGTATCCAGGACAACCAGGGGCAGAGTTTCCCCAACACTAACAGGAAAAAACAAGACCTTGTACTTATGCACATTCTGGGCAAGGGCTCTATCACCAAAATATACCCTCAGCCCAACAAATGGGAATTTTAAAGAACAAAGGATAGAATTTTAAAGATCAAGACATAACACTTCACACACACTGACAACATAAACACTTTCCTGATTTTGCCCAGGCAGTTTTAAAATATTACATTTATTTCTAAAGAATCATTTATCATTGGCTGCCATAAGAAGGCATTTTATATATGAATAACAGTATCAGAGCTGGGCGGTGGTGATGCATGCCTTTAATCACAGCACTTGGGGGCAGAGGCAGGTGGATCTCTGAGTTCGAGGCCAGCCTGGTCTACAAGAGCTAGTTCCAGGACAGGCACCAAAACTACAGAGAAACCCTGTCTTGAAAACCCAAAAACAAAACAAAAACAACAACAAAAAACAACAGTATCATTCACCAAGATTATATAGCAGGTTAAGTAAGAGAATCAACTTCCTGGTTCTCTAACCATTCTGACATGGTATTTTTCAGTGAACCTACCACCTTTTGCAGGACAAGCATACTAAGCAAGAGGTATGGTTCTTAAGAGTTCTGGGAAACTGACCCTTTTGTATCCCGTATATTAGAGAGTTCAATGTGCTAGCCTGGGATGCTGGGAATAAAGAATGTGGACTTGCTCACAGGTAATGTACAGTGCACTGTATCCTGTATATATACTATATATAACAAGAGACAGGAGATGCACTTGGCCATGTGAGGTGAAGTTTGCAGCACTGTTGGGTTTATAGAGAGTTCTGGTGTGATACACAACTCAAATATACTCAATAGGCTGTAGTTTTGCAGGCCATGTGGTATGCATCTGTCATAGAGAATGTCACTGACCCACACTATTATCCTGCTTACATTACCCACTTATTCCTTCAAAATAGAGCTAATAGAACTTTTTACACTTCTCCTGTCTGTTTCATAGTTCAATTAACTCCCATCAAGAGACAAATTTTTCATGAAGGGCTTTAATTGCTGTATGTCATTCAAAAGACAAAAATAAAGATTCCATACAAAATGAAGGAGCACAGACTAGCTGCATCCCATCTCTTTAATGTCAGATTACAACTGCTATTTTTACAATCTGCTGAGGAATCTCTCTCTTTTACTCACACACAATTTCACTATCTAATGGACAATCAGTATCTCCTCTCCCACTCACCCTGTATCTCTTACCTGTATATGGCTTTAACATCCTTTTGTTAACCCAGCCCCTTGTTGGACTGTCATCAAAAAACTGGACATGAACACGAACCGATTTCCCTTTCTTCCGGATGAATGTTCCATCAAAGGGATGATTATAAACCAGGCAAGGCCACCAGGGATAACCTTCCATCTTAGCCCAAACCAAATCGCCTGGTGAAAAGTCACAAGAACTGTTGCCAAAAAGAAATATAGAATTCGGTTAATATTTAGTTACCTTACTTCAAAGGCTATTACCCATAAATAAACAATTTTAAGGAAGCTCTCATTAAGAGGGCTGGAGAGATGGCTCAGCAGTTAAGAGCACTGACTGCTTTCAGAGGACCCGGATTCAATTCCCAGCACCCACATGGCAGCTCACAACTGTCTGGAAATCCAGTTCCAGGGAATCTGACACCTTCCTTCCAATGCACATAAAAAAAATAAAGTTAAATAAATCATTTAAAAAATCTATTTAAAAAAAAAGACTCCTTTAGAAACTTCTGGTAAGTCAGAAGGTTCACCTTTTATAACGTACGCAAGCTAATATAATGCTTATTTAACAATTAAAACAAATACACTGGTACTAGATGACGACTGTTTCTCAGAAGTTTTAAAATGAAAATTCAGACAGTTATCTTGTCAGTTACAAGACTTAGAGTGGCTGGGCAGTGTGGTGTACACCTTTAATCCCAGCACTCAGGAGGCAGACGGCTCTCTGAGTTGAGGCCAGCCTGGTCTATAGCACTAGTTCCAGGACAGCCAGGACTGTTACACAGTGAAACCCTGTCTCAAAAGTCCAGAGAGATAGAGAGAAATAGTGACTACACATGCCTAAATGATTTGGCTCTTGTGGGTTGTCTCTGAGCACTCAGAACAAACCATTCAAGAACCCCCTCAATGATAGAAAGGCTACTAATAACTATTCCTGCCCAAGTGCATTCAACAGCAGTATTCTCTAGGCCCACTTAAAAGGTTCTCAGCACGTACAATATTAAAATATTGCAACCTTTGGAAGGTCTGCTCCAAGACCATACCCAGGGTATGTAAAAAATCCAGGAATGCAGCTTTTCTATCTGAGGGGAGTTAAGAAACACACACTCAAGAAACATCATTCTTTCAGTAAACATAAGAAACAGCCAATTTGACACACAAGGAATCACAAGTTTCTCTCAGGCTTAGAATGTCACACCGACCAGCTGGAAATGAGTAACCATGACAACACTTGCACTTGGTCATGGAGGCAGGAGGCAAAGCCTCTCTGTACTTAGCCTGAGAGACATCATACAAAGTGACACTGAAATTCAGGACCTAAGCAATAACCAGCTGGCTGGACCTCGTATCATAAAAATGAGGAGTATGTGCAGCTGCTGAGAGGGTTTGTACAGGGAGTTGTGTCTTTAAAGTTATCTGCCAGGCTTTTGCAAGCAAGAAGACTGGCACAATAGTTGTCCATGCTTGACCCTGGTACAGCAATGGACACTGGGAATTTGTCCTTGTGCATTTCATTTACTTTGGGTTTGGTCTGAGGTGGTAAGTCAGCTAATTGTATGAAACTGTCTTGAAGCCATGGAATAAAGGCCTGGCATGAAAGTCCATTTTATTCACCAAAATTATGCAGTATAAGAACAAGTCATCCTTCTGTCAATTCAGATATAATTATGCCCAAAAAGTGTAAAACACACCACCAGTGGGCTGTGGAAAGAACCCCACAGCTGTTCTTTTTAGGGAAGAATTGTGGCAGCGCATGAGAAAACTACAGGCAGAAACAAATGCCACCTACAGCCAGCCCCACAGTGGAGCTCCCCATCACAATTATTCATCCGGTGGGCCCCGACCAGCTGAATAGCCATCATCTGCTGTACATTCCTAGTGGGCCCCGGCATTAAGATAAGCACACTACTACAGTAAGAATAGTTCAGACATTTCCAGAGTAGTCAGTTGAAGTCAACTGACTTGGACCCAATCATGAAGCAGTATTTCTTCAAAAACCACTTCCCCAACCAGGCATGAGGGCACATGCCTGCAATCCCAGCCCATAATTATGGCTGAAGCAGGAGGAACTCAAGGATTTTAAGGCCATCCTGGATTACAAGACCTGCTCAAAAATGTGTCTACATGCACCAAGAACACATTTATTTGGGAAACATAGGTCAAAGGTACAATACTTGTCTACCACGGGCATAGCTATGGGTTCCATTCCGGCACCCAAATAGGGAAAACAGATACTTTTAGAATACAATAGAAAGAGGACTAGAGAAATGGCTCAGAGGTTAAGAGAGTATTGATTACTCTTTAAAAGGTACTGAGTTCAATTCCTAGCAGCCACATGGTGGTTCACAGTCATCCAAAATGAGATCAGATGCCCTCTTCTGTGGTGCAGGCAAGTATGCAGACAGAACACTGTATACATATTAAATAAAATAATTTTTTTTAAAAAATACAATAGAGAATATGAGTATCATCTTGTATTGTCTCTGTATCTTTATAAGGACTGGCTTACAATTTCACTTTTTGGTTTTTGTTGTTTTGAAACAGAGAGAGTGTGTGTGTGTGTGTGCATGTGCGTGCGTGCGTGCGTGTGTGTGTGTGTGTGTGTGTGTGTGTGTGTGTAGCTCTGGCTGTCCTGAAACTCATTTTGTACACCAGAATGGCCTTGAACTCAAGAGATAGATCCTTTGCCTCTGCCTCCCAAGTGATGGGACTAAAAGTGTGAGACACCACCAATGCCTGGCACAACTTCAGATTCTACAGTACAAGTTTATGCACATCACTTCAGGCTCACTACGGGTCACCAAGAAGACGCTGTACCTGCACAATTCAAACAGATAACTGTTTCCTTATCTTCAGTGACACATTCCCAAGAGGAAGAACCAGGGGACCAAAAAATAAAGATAGGAGAACTGAGGTCAGGAGGTCTTGCATAAACTGTGCCTTAATACCAAGCAAGTTTATTAAATAAAGCATGTAATATACAGCTTGGGGGGGGGGGGGGACGACAAAATCAGCAGGAAGCTGATCAAGCAATGCTGTAAAAAAAAAAAAAAAAAAAAAAAAAGGGATAGAAGACACCTCAAGTGCACCCAGCAGCTTTGGAACTGAACACTGTAGCCCTTGGTGGCTAGGGTGGGGGTGGGATGTTTCCAGGATCCTGAAACTTCCCCAATGCCGTGTCCCCAGGCTATTACTGGCCTTGCCAGGTTTTCAACAAGTTCCCTCTCCACTCTCAAGGACTTAAAGGCCTAGCCCTCAACACTAAGCCTAGGGCCAAGTGAGAGCTGGCCTTCCCTCCCTTCACTCAAGCAGTTTGGCCACTGAAAAGCTGGACTGAGTTCTCTAAAATCTTTTTTTCCTTAATTTTGTTTTTTCATGATACTGTTTTCTTGTGTAGCCCAGATTGTCTTGGAACTCCTCGGTATACTTGGATAACAAACAAAAAGATCTGTCTGCCTCTGCCTCCTAGGGCTGGGATCAAAGCCACCACGCCTGGCTTTGATTTCTAAGGAAGAAGGAGACTTTTTCTCTATATTCCTTTATTATCGCTGACAAATGTCTATGACTGTATTTCCCAATGTGGAACACATTTAACCTCTGTTGCCAACCAAGACAATTTTTTTTTGCAGTAGGGAAAAAGATGCCAATGAGGTCAAGTGTCGCTGGAACTTGCTCTGTAACCCAGGCTGGCCTCAAACTCAGAGATTCACCTCCCTCTTCCTCCTTCCTAAGTGCTGGGATTAAAGGCTTGCACCACCACTGCCCGGCTCTCAGGTTTTTCTAGCAATACTAAAAGCTTTGTGTGTTGAGTACGTGTGTATAGTTAAACATTCACAAGGATGTGGGGACCAGAGGTCAATCTCAGGTGTCACTCCTGTTACCAGCCATCATTTTTTGTTCTGAGACAGAATCTCTCACTGCCCTCAAACTTGCCAAATGGGCTAGGCTGCTAGCCCCAGGGATCTGCCTCCCCAGTGCCAAGGGCATATGCCACCATGCCCAGCTTATTTTTTAGGTGGTTTCTGTGTAATGAACTAAGATCCTCATACTTGTAAAGCAAGTTCTTTACCATCCAACCTCCCCAGTTCCCACATATACTGATTATGCAACCTTCAATCCCAGCACCTGAGAGACAGAGGCAGTCTGGACTACATCTGGGACTACAGCAGAGCCAGAGTAATAGTTTAGCAAGTCAAAGTACCTGGGTAAGGGTGCCTCTCGGCCTTAGTGCTTCCCCCCTCCCCTGGGAACCAGGGATCGATCTAACAATTACCCACACACGTTCTGAAATGTTGGAAACTTTCCATCTCCCTGAGTCTTTGTGAATGTTCTCCAGATAGAACTCTGTTATTGAAATTGGAGCAAGATAACCCTTAAGATGTTGACTCAATTCCTGATGTTTTGACTCAGTTCCTGGGAAGGGGTCAAAGTAACCCTCAAAAGTTTCCTCACCTGATCTGGCAACCGCCCTCCAGTCCTGGCTCGGACCAATTATTGTTAATAGCACTTTGAATAAGCCAATACAAATAGTTGGAAAACAACCCCCAGACTCCCCCCCTTGTTTCTGTGACTTTTTACTTTAAAAGTAGCCTGTACCAGCTATTCAGGGTCTTTTTGGCTTCTCGAATGCTGAAAAGATCCTGTCGCAACAGAATCAATCAAATCCTCTTGCTTTTATATCAACCGTGGTGTGAGGGTGGTCTCTTGGGGTGACTCCTCAGTGACTGGACTCTAGGGTCCTGAACTCCATACACACCCCATGCCGTGAGCACAGCCATACCCATCTCTCAGAGCCCCACATATATTTTTGTCTCCCAAAAGTCAAGACAGTGGAGAGGAGATGGCTCAGAGCGTAAACACACTTGCTGCCAAGCTGGATGGCCCGAGCTCTATTATCTGCAGGACCCACACAGTAGAGAACCAACTACCCCAAACTGTTCTCTGACTTTCACAACCTACTACGGCATGCATATTCTAACAGGTAATTTTTAAAAAATAGAAATAATGGGACTGGAGAAATGGCTCAGCAATTAAGAGCACTGTCTACTCTTCCAGAGGAACCAGGTTCAATTCCCTGAACACACATGGCAGCTCACAGTTATCTGTAACTCCAGTTCCAGAGGCTCTGAGGTCCTCCTCTGGCCTTCCTCAGGCACCATATACACACATGAGTACATATACATACATACACACAAAACACATATATAGGCATCTCTTATATTTAGCTGTTCCTGAGTTGTGTCCTTTATCAAAACAAACAAAAAGTGGGAAATAAGTGAGCCAAAATTATTTTTTTTAAATTTATTTATTATGTATACAATGTTCTGTCTGCATGTATGCCTGCCCACCAGAAGAGGGCAGCAGATCTCATAGATGGTTGTGAGCCACCATGTGGTTGCTGGGAATTGAACTCAGGACCTCTGGAAGAGCAGCCAGTGCTCTTAATCTCTGAGCCATCTCTCCAGCCCGAGCTAAAATTATCTTATCCCCTCCCACAGTAACATACATTGGCTCTTCATGATGCCCAAGGTGAAATGCCAGAATATTGGATGCCGTAAGTTTTTAAATTTTAAATAAGTTATTATCGGATAAAAGCTAATAGTAAAAATAAATGTCAGGCGCAGTGAGAGACACTTGTAATGCTTAGTATCCAGAAGTGGGGTGGGGGGAGGTCAGAGATTCATTACACAACAAATTGAGGCTAGCTTTTGATATTTGAGACTGTCTCAAATATTAATTAGTGGGCTGGAGATAAGGCTCAGAGATTAGGCTGTTCTCCCAGAAGACCTGGATTCAAATCTCAGCACCCAGATCACAGTTCTTGACTATCTGTAACCCTTCTATCCTCCATGGGTACCAGATACACATGTGGTGCACAGGCATACATGCAAACACAGCACACATAAACAAAAGTAAAACTTAACTTTTATAATAGCCTTTACATGTAACATGAGCTAGCCTGGGACTCTCTACATTAATAAAGTAGCCTCCACCTCACAGAGATCCACCTGCCCACGTGCAGGGATTAAAGGATTGTTACCATACCAGCCTTTAAAAAAATTATTTAACTTAAAATTTAAATAAAATAATGTAATAGTGAAATGATCCGCTTAAGATAACCAACAACCATGCTATTTAAGTCAATTAAGAGCATAAGAGTGCTTTAATAACGGCCAGACCAAGAGCGAGCTAATGCCTCCAAAATGTCTCTTGGGTGCAACTCAGGAGTACAGTCTTTTTAAAGGCAAAACCAGTTACATTAGTGTTTGGGGGAGGGATGGTTTGGAGTATCTGTGTAACATCTGTCTTTCTGCAGAACTTAGAAGTATTTTCCAGACCCAAAACTAGAGTTAATGCTTCTTCTTAGTTATTTTAATTTTATGTTTTAGCTTGCACAAACATTAATTACTTTGGTTAATATATCTGGCCAATGATCAGGGTTGACAGTCCCAACAGTGTTTCCAAGGTGGAAGTGGTTATTGGCGGGATGAGCTGAAGTGGTTAGGCACTGGTTGTTTTTAACAAAATCTCAATCGTGCAATTTTACCAATAAAGACTCAGGAGCCAGATGCTGGGGTGAAAGCCTGTTAGCTCAGAGGCAAAGAAAGCACCCAGCGACTTCCCCAAACCCCTTTTCCTACAAATCTCCAACAACAAACTTCAAACTGAATGAATGTCCCTCCCATCCACTTCCTAAGCATCTCTCTATCCCTCCTCCTGACTCCCTCTTACTCTAAGGCTTTTTTCTGTCAACTGGTTGCTTGCTAGGCCTCTTGACCCATGGTTGACTTAACTTAATCCTGTTTACAGTATTCAAGCAGAAAGTTCTGGAGTTAAAGGTGTGTGAGGGCTGAGCCACACCACAACTAGAAAAGGGTTTTCCAGTAAATAATGCAGTCTTAGGGTTCACATGTCCTGCAACAAGACAGACACAAAATGGTGTTACCATATTCATTTCAAAAGCATTTTAACTAAACTAAGAAATGACCTACTAAGGGGGCAGCTCGGTAGCAAAGCATTTCCCTGATATTCGGGTAACATTTAGTGCATGTGGGTACCAACTACTAGCTGTTTATAAACCTCATCAACAACTTTAACCTACATTTGAAAAAAGAATCCATTAATTGACCAAAGCTAGTATCTGCCTCTATAAATAAAGCTAGACGTGGTAGCATAGGCCTGTAATCCCTGCACTTGAGAGGAGAAAACAAAAGAATTTGGAGTTCAAAGTCAGCCAGTCACAGAAACAGTGAAAGTGGTGCATTCCAGGTGGTGGTAGGACCGTGTTCCAGAAACAATGAGGAGTAGGATTGCTAAATTCACGACCAAAGTGATGTACAAAGCAAGACTCATCTCCAAAATTTATACTGATTTAGAGATACCATATAAATAAACTATCCAGACTAACCTCTGATATTGTGTTGGGGGATTGGAGGACTAAACAAAACTAAAAAAACCACGGCATGCCTGTAATCCCCAGCACTCAGGAGGCTAATGCAGAAGGCTAAAGTTAAAGGCTAGCCCAAGTTAAAAGCTAGCCTGCTCTAGTGTGACCAAAATCCAAGAAAACCCACACCAAAAACACCCACAAGTTAGGTCTGTAAATGTAGTATGAGTCAGTCTAAAATATTTTTTAATATTTTTCTATGTATTTTTTAAGCCTAAAAAGGGAAAAAAGAGGAAGCCAGAGAGATGGCTCCAGAGTCAGTTAAAAGCACATAAGTACTGTTCACAGCACCCAACGGTGGGTGCTCACAACCACCTGCTAACTCCAACTTCCGGTGCCTCTGGCCTCCATGGGCATCTGCACTCATATAAACATACCAACACATATAAGTATGTATGCAATTAAAATGTTTTTATAGTAAATTAAGACTGTAATTTAAAAAAATGAAATTGGAGGGAGGAAAATGAAGAGGGGAATGCTATATTAAGATAAACTAAAAATAAAAAAAAATTAAAGGGAAACAAGGAAAAATGATAGACAAAGATGACATTATACGCTGAGCCAAGCATGGCAAATACTTTTAAGTCCAGCACTCAGGATGTAGAGGCAAGCGGGTCTCTGTGAGTTCAAAACCAGCCTGGTCTTAGGACAGCCAGGGATACACAGAGAGATTGTCTCAGGAGAAAAAAAAAAGGGGGGGGGGGGACACAATGCAGAATGGAAGGACACATCTGCATTACAGGCAGCTGATAAAGAACCAGTAAACAAGCAAATTACCAACACTTCAGCATAAAAGAAAACCTTTTGTTTTTCTAGACAGGGTTTCTCTGTGTAGCTTTGAAGCCTGTCCTGGGACACACTCTGTACACCAGGCAGGTCTTGAACACAAAATCCACCTGCCTTAGCCTCTCGAATGCTGGGATTAAAGACGTGTGCCACCACCACCCAGGTGTCAAAAGGAAACATTAACAGCAAACATGATGCTGTTATCTTCTGCTCCCATCCCACACTCAAGTCTTGGACTATCAGTCCCGTGATTGGACCGGTTACATTCCCTTCAAGTTGTCCTCTGACCCTCCTTCATTTGCTAGTTTGCAGACTCTCTTCCAGAACCAGAAGCCACTAAAATCTGGCTAGTTCCAGCTGTTCTTTTAGTCTGTTCACAGAACTGAATCGCTTAACCTGAACCACCCTTCTCCTTCCTCCGACGCACAAAAAAAACCTCCTATTTTACTTTGGGATCAGTTTCTACTCGGGATATATTAAAATACATAGAGTACCTTACAGTAAAGTAAATGCGGCCCTTTATTTTGGATGCCACAAAATCAATTCACAGCCAAGTAATATGCATTCTTCAACAGATGCTCGCTTCAAGTTCCCACAAGCAGAGACAACTAATAATTCTTTAGGTCAGACACAGCGAGGGCCTTGAACACACTACAGCAAGCGCCGAGTTATAACCTCCAACCCTAGACTACTCAAGTGGCTTTTTCCGATCATTTAAACACACAATTGCGGGAAGGACATTAAAACTCAGTAGTACTGCATGCAAAGGTCTTATGCTCCACACAGAGACTGCCTCTACAATCAGTTAAACTCTGAAAAATCCAACAATTCCTGTAGGACACCTTGAACACAGGGCATCAAAAATCGCTGCTAAGAACCACTGGCTAGAGATTTGATCAGATTTTTCTTGAGTCTCCAAGTCATGGCTTAAACAGTCACCACCACATTATGTGTTTAAAACGATAAAAGCGAGCTTTCCAGAATGTCTAATTACCCCAACAAAAACAAACAAACAAAGCCGGGCGGTGGTGGCGCACGCCTTTAATTCCAGCACTCGGGAGGCAGAGGCAGGCGGATCTCTGTGAGTTCGAGACCAGCCTGGTCTACAAGAGCTAGTTCCAGGACAGGCTCCAAAACCACAGAGAAACCCTGTCTCGAAAAACCAAAAAAAAAAAAAAAAAAAAAAAAAAAGACAAATTCACAAAGTGATACGACAACCCCAGGCTGGTTTCCCCAGCAAACTTTCTTGCCAAGGGCACTACACTCCAATACTTCCAAGGCCCACAAAACCGAAAAACCTTCCGCACCCTTCCCTCGTATGGAATCGTGCGTTTAAAAACTGCGTCGTCCCAAATCGGAACACCTTTCTCACCAGATGCAAACTTCCACCTGCAGCCCGCCCAAGTTCCCTGCTATCTTCTCCAGTAGGTATACAATCGTGACGTCTGCCCCGCCCCGCCCCCTCCAGGCCCCGGCCCGCAGCGGGACACGCCCCCGCCCGCGGAGCCGAAGGGGGGGGTCTCAGCCCCGGAGCCTCCTGACCTGACCCGACCCATCCCACCCCACCCCACAGTGGGCACGCGCCTCCAGCGCCCCCCGAAAGTCCCAGGCACTAGCCCCGCTCCTCCCGGGCAAGCCGCCCCTCCTCCGGCCGCCCGTCTGGCCCTGCACAGCCTCCCCTTCCTTCCGGCCGCCCACGCGCCGCCTCAGCGCCCCCAAGCAGCTACCTGTCGGGAACCGCCGGCACGGCCGAGCTCCGCGGTCCCCCGTTGAGGTTCTTTGCCTCGGGCGACGAGGCGGACACCGCCGCGGGCCGGGGCTCAGATCCAGTCTCGCTCCAGGCCGCATCCCTGCCGCGGGAAGCGGAGGCCCCGGAGACGGCGGCGGCGGCGCCTCCTTCGCGTAAGGCCCCGGCCGCGGCCTTCTTGGTGTCGCCAAGCGCCGGGGACTTGGAAAAGAAGCTGTACAGGGTGCTTTGTCGCGACATTATGGAGGATGGCGGGCCCGACCGTGCGCCACTCGGAGCGCCTACAGGTACCGCCTCCGCCGCGCGGCAGCAGCTGGCGGGAAAGTCGGGAGGAGGCGCGTCCGACCCGAGCGCCCGGAGCCCGGCAGCCAATCCGCACGCACCTCGGCCGGGGCGGTGGGCGGGGCCCCACCTCGGACGTGCCCCGGCGTCGGTGGGCGGGGTCTAGTCGCCTCGCCTCGCCTCGCCTCGCCCTCCCGGCAGGACCGGCGGGCCTTGAAACTCTGGGTAGGAAAGTTGCCGGGTTTGCGGTGGGCACCTTGGGAAGTCCACCCGTCTAAGACGGAAGTGGCGAGCGCGGTTTCCGGAGCCTAAGCTGGAGCGGCTGGGTTCACCCTGCAGGAGGCCGCAAAAAACGTTCCCCGGAAACACCTGGCGCTGCGGGCGGCCCTGCGGTTGGACAGACCAGAGCCCAGAAATTGACTTTTATCGTTTCCTCTGGACGGTGTATTTATTCGAAGAGCGGTGTGCAGAGTGGCACTTGTGAATGCCAAGTGCGAGGCCCTGGTATTTCAAACCAGCTATCCACAAAACTTTCCGTCACCCATCATTGCTTCAACTAGTTTATGCTTCGTAATCTGAAGCAGACCGCTAAAATCCACAATCTTATATCAGAGTCCTTTGGCATAGGTGTTCAGATTTTTTTTTTTTAGAAACTGAGAACGTTAAGGTAATGTTGAGAGTCGAAATCTGGGCCTTAGCAGCCCTAACACACTAGGCTCTTCCCACCCATCCTCAATAACTGAATAAAAGAGAATAACAAAAACCAGAGAAAGGAGATTTAGTCAATGGGGCCACATCAGGAAGAAAAAGAAGTTCGGAGGCCCCCTCTAAATTCATCTTTGGGATCCTGACATGAGGTTTAGATTGAAAGAGAAACCAAAACGGACCTTGGGAAGGGGTAATCTGGCCCAACAAGGCTTCTGCTCCCGTCTGACCTGCAAGGTTGACACAACAAGGTTTAGAAAAGTGTGAAACCTCTTTCCCGGAAACAAGTTTTCCTCTGGCCAACCCCAGAATTTGCCTCCCAATCTCCTCCCCCCCCCCCCCCCCCCCCGTCCCGTCCGGTCTCCACCTCGAAATTCCTGGAGAAATACCAATTCCTTGGGATCCATTGTTTCAATTGCTTGTAAGACAAAGGGAAGGGGTTTAAGTGTCTCTCAGAAGGGCTTCCTGCCACGTTGGTTACAAGACTCCTATTCAAATTCAAGAAAGCTGTTGGGAGCCAGGTGTACCCCAGCAGTCAGGAGGCAGAGGCAAGTGGTTCTCTGAGTTCAAGGCCAGCCTGACCCACAAAGTGAGTTTGAGGACAGCCAGGACTCTGTCCTACAGAGAATCCTGTCTCCAAAATCCAAGCCAAGCCCCCCCCCCAAAAAAAAAAAGAAAGTGGGAGGATAATGATCCTGTGATCTCTTAAACCAGCTATAAGTAAATATGGAATCAATCCCAACAACTTCACTGTGGCAAAGGGGTGTGTAAGACCCTCACCCCTTGTTCTCAAAGGGGCGAGAAGAAATTTCCTAGCAGAATGTTTTCCCAGGAAGATAGTGGCCTTCCCCTCTTCCATCTAGGAGATTCCAAGTAGGAGGTCACTTAGCCAGTCACCTGGTGATAAAGAAAACAAGGAAAAAGCTGACTTAGCAGAATGGGAGGAAGCAAAAGACCTTACACCCACACCAAAGCAACTTCAAAAAGCCTCCTTGTAGTTATGCCTTTAAAAGCCTACCCCAGAGGAGATACAACTCCTCTCTCTACCTCGCTATAGCGGGCTCAGTAGACAGGGGTTCCAAGCATGTTTGTATTATGCTGATTAAACCTTGCTTATTGTAATCTGGGCACAACAGGTAATAATAAGATTTGTTCTGACACTGGACAGTGGTGGCACACGCCTTTAACCCCAGCACTCGGGAGGCAGAGGCAGGCAGATCTCACTGAGTTCAATGCCAGCCTGATCTACAAAGTGGGAGCCAGGGCTGTTACACAGAGAAACCCTGTCTCGGAAAAAAAAGAAAAGATTTGCTCGGAACTGGGCTGTCCTGGAACTTTGCTCTGTAGACCAGGCTGGCCTTGAACTCAGAGACCTGCCTGCCTCTGCCTCCTCAGTGCAGGGATCAAAGGCGTGCGCCACCACTACTTCTGTACTGTCTTACCCTGTCACAGGACTAGCAGGTCATTCTTCAATAAGGTTCCTAAGGATCCTGTTCCTGATTCAGGAGATCAGAAATTAAGAAGACAGGAACCTTGAGATCAGGTCTGAATGAGCCAAAGACTTGGGCCAGCTTATTTACTAAGTACAGCATCATATATATTATTTTTGAGGGAAAAATTGAACAGTCAGAAGAAAACCATCACACACTGGGACAAGGTCAACAGAAAGCTAATCAAGTAATGTTGCACAAAAAGGACACAGGGTTTCTCAAGTGAATTACAGACCCAGCTCACATCATTCTTGGTACTAATACCTTAACCTTTAAGGGAAGGACTTGGGTTCCAGAATCAAAGCTTCCCCAGTATCCTGGCCCCAGGCCATTAATGTTCCTGGTTTTACACAAGGAAACATAATCCTTCTCCAAACATCATAGCCTTCAGGAAAGCCTTGGGTTGGCCTGACCCCAGCAGCTTCACAGCAGTGTCCCCTACACACGCACACACGCACGCACGCGCACACACACAGCCGTCACACTCTATATCCTACAGAGACATTATGAGTCCCTAGCTAATTGACCTCCCAGGGCCACGACATTGACTTGGGAAGTGAGTTTACATCCAAGGGATACCATGTTCTATGTTTAGTTCTGTATTTTCCCACTTCCGTGCCTCCTGTCTGGTACCAGCTCTTGCTATGAAATCTTCCATCCCCAGAGAGCTTGCTAGAAGAGGCTCCTTCCTCTGACAGAATGGCTTTGGATCTCTTCAGAGACCCCCACCTTGCTGTCTGTCTCTGGTCCTGGGGCCTGAGCTCTCCTTAAAGCCCCTTGCCCTGCCATTGCCCTTCATTCTGTCTATCTATGCCATCAGCTCTTCTAATAAATGCCTAGTTCCCTGGTAATCTACCTCACTTTCCTCTTAAGTAAACCTTACCCAAAACCTAACACATCCTGAAAGACCACTAACCCAAACGATCATGGTCAAATAAATTAAACCAGAGGTTCCCCCCTCCCCATGCTGATTAAACCCCCTCCCTTGGGAGGCAGAGGTAGGTGGATTTCTGTGAGTTCAAGGTCAGCCTGGTCTATAGTGTGAGACCCTCCTCCCTTATTCTCGAAGGAACAAGAAGAAATTTCCTAGCACTTGGGAAATTTCAAAGCACAAGGACGCCCAGCCACCTGGTGGAGCCTGATAAATGTGTCCTGATTCAGGTATAGGGTGACCTTGCTTTAAAAACAAAGAACAAGCTGACTTAGCAGGAGGGGAAAGAGCAAAGACCTTGCACCCGCCCCAAACCCCACTGATAGTCCTGAAGGGCTTGTAGTTTTTGCCTTTAAAAAAGCTAACCCCATAGAGGGATTTGAGCTCCTCCCTGCCTCGCTGCGAAGGAGCTAGCCTGTATCAAGTAAACAATAAACCTTGCTTATTGCAGTTTGGGCTTCTCTGGTATCTGGTCTCTCTGGGACAGCTAGGGCTGTTACACAGAGAAAAATGAGTGAGAGAGAGAGAGAGAGAGAGAGAGAAATATTATTTATTTATGGATGATACTGCATATGAGAAAAGATCTTATATAATTAAACTGGTTACGACCAAATAGTTACTTAGAGTTTTTCTTTTTTTATTTTATTTATTTATTTAATTATTAAAGATTTCTGCTTCCTCCCCGCCACCGCCTCCCATATCCCTCCCCCTCCCCCAATCAAGTCCCCCTCCCTCATCAGCTCAAAGAGCAATCGGGGTTCCCTGCCCTGTGGGAAGTCCATGGACCACCACCTCCACCCAGGTCTAGTAAGGTGAGCATCCAAACTGTCTAGGCTCCCACAAAGCCAGTACGTGCAGTAGGATCAGAAACCCATTGCCATTGTTCTTGAGTTCTCAGAAGTCCTCATTGTCCGCTATGTTCAGCGAGTTCGGTTTTATCCCATGCTTTTTCAGACCCAGGCCAGCTGGCCTTGGTGAGTTCCCAGTAAAGCATCCCCACTGTCTCAGTGTGTGGGTGCACCCCTCGCGATCCTGAGTTCCTTGCTCGTGCTCTCTCTCCTTCTGCTCCTGATTTGGACCTTGAGATTTCGGTCCGGTGCTCCAATGTGGGTCTCTGTCTCTGTCTCCTTTCATCGCCTGATGAAGCAAGAAACTAGACCGTAAAAGGCTAAACAACCCAATTATAAAATGGGGCACTGAGCTGAACAGAGAATTCTCAACAAAAGAAGTTCAAATGGCCAAAAGACACTTAAGGTCATGCTCAACTTCCTTAGCGATCAGGGAAATGCAAATCAAGACAACTTTAAGATACCATCTTACACCTGTCAGAATGGCTAAAATAAAAAACACCAATGATAGCCTTTGCTGGAGAGGTTGTGGAGAAAGGGGTACACTCATCCATTGCTGGTGGGAATGCAAACTTGTGCAACCACTTTGGAAAGCAGTGTGGCAGTTTCTCAGGAAATTCGGGATCAACCTACCCCTGGACCCAGCAATACCACTCCTGGGAATATACCCAAGAAATGCCCTATCATACAACAAAAGTATATGCTCAACTATGTTCATAGCAGCATTGTTTGTAATAGCCAGAACCTGGAAACAACCTAGATGTCCTTCAATGGAAGAATGGATAAAGAAAGTATGGAATATATGCATATTAGAGTACTACTCAGCAGTAAAAAACAAGGACTTCTTGAACTTTGCATGCAAATGGATGGAAATAGAAAACACTATCCTGAGTGAGGTAAGCCAGACCCAAAAAGAGGAACATGGGATGTTCTCACTCATATTTGGTTTCTAGCCATAAATAAAGGATAATTCGTGATCCTAGAGAAGCTAAATAAGAAAGTGAACCCAAAGAAAGACATATAGGCATCCTCCTGAATATTAACCTTCATCAGGTGATGAAAAGAGATAGAGTTTTTCTAAGATCAAAAAATACTGTGCATTGCTGCACTAAGGCAGGCT